TGTGTAGTAGAATGCTGTATGAACATGTGTGTAGTAGAGTGTTGTATAAATGTGTGTGTAGTAGAGTGTTGTATGAATGTGTGTAGTAGAGTGCTTTAAGAATGTGTGTGTATTAGAGTGTTATATGAATATGTGTGTAGTAGAGTGCTTTATGATTGTGTATGTAGTAGAGTGCTGTATGAATGTGTGTGTAATAGAGTGTTGTATGAATGTGTATAGTAGAATGCTGTATGAATGTGTGTGTAGTAAAGTGCTTTATGAATGTGTGTGTAGTAGAGTGTAGTATGAATGTGTATAGTAGAATGCTGTATGAATGTGTGTGTAGTAAAGTGCTTTATGAATGTGTGTGTAGTAGGGTGTTGTATAAATGTGTGTATTGTAGAGTGCTGTATGAATATGTGTGTAGTAATGTTTTGTATGAATGTTTGTAGTGGAGTGCTTTATGAATGTGTGTGTAGTAGAGTGTTGTATAAATGTTTCTGTAGTAAAGTGCTGTATGAATGTTTGTGTAGTATAAAGTAGAATGCTGTATGAATGTGTGTGTAGTAGAGTGCTGTATAAATGTATGTGTAGTAGAATGCTGTATGAATGTGTGTAGTGGAGTGCTGTGTGAATGTGTGTGTAGTACAGTGCTGTATGAATGTGTGCATAAGAATGTTGTATAATATGTGTAGTAGAATGCTGTGTGAATGTGTGTGTAGTAGAGTTTTATGATTGTGTGTGTAGTAGAGTGCTGTATCATTGAGTGTGTAATAGAGTGTTGCATGAATGTGTGTGTAGTAGTCTTGTATGAATGCGTGTGTAGTAGAGTGTTGTATACGTGTGTGTAGTTGAGTGCTGTATGAATGTGTGGGTAGTAGAGTCTTGTATGAATGTGTGTGTAGTAGAGTCTTGTATGAATGTGTGTGTGGTAGAGTGCTGTATGAATGTGTGTGTAGTAGAGTCTTGTATGAATGTGTGTGTAGTAGAGTCTTGTATGAATGTGTGTGTAGTAGAGTGTTGTATACCTGTGTGTAGTAGAGTGCTGTATGAATGTGTGTAGTAGAGTCTTCTATGAATGTGTGTGTAGTAGAGTCTTGTATGAATGTGTGTGTAGTAGAGTGTTGTATACATGTGTGTGTAGTAGAGTGCTGTATGAATATGTGTGTAGTAGAGTGTTGTATGAATGTGTGTAGTAGAGTGCTGTATGAATGTGTGTGTTGAGGTAAATGAAGGCACGTGTTGTAAAGTGCTTTGAATATCTTAACATCTAAAGGCGCTCTATAAGTACAGTCCATTTACTTGTGAATGAAAGTGTGTTTTATTCTCAGCCTGCATTCATCATGTAAACCCACAGCATCACAACACTTTGTTGTGATTGTAATGTTAAACTTGCCACCAATGCTGTCAAACTGCAGAAATTAAACATTCGTTTTCTGGACAATATGATTCCACTTATAAACAAGGTCACAACTTTTTTATCCTATTTTTCTAGTCACTTCTTTTTATGTTGATCCTAGAGTTCCAGCATCAGTGGATCTTCTGTTTATTGTGCTGTAGGACATTTGTGGACAGAAGAGTTGTGACACCTTGGGTGTGGCTGATGTCGGGACGATGTGTGACCCCAAAAGAAGCTGCTCAGTTATTGAAGACAACGGCCTGCAAGCTGCCTTCACCGTGGCACATGAGCTTGGTTAGTTCTGATTTCATTTGATGGGACTTGTATGTTTAGGAATAAGGAAAAAAAAAAAAGTGCAATAGAAAAGTTTTGTTATTTGTAGATTTAAAGTGTGAACTACACTTGTGACCACTTGTAAACCCTCAAATATGACAGTTTAGTCATCCTGTCCTACAGGTCATGTGCTGAGTATGCCTCATGATGACTCGAAGACGTGCGAGAGGCTGTTTGGGGATCTGGGAGGACATTACCTGATGGCTCCTTTTTATGTTCGTCTCAACAGCACCGCACCTTGGTCTCCCTGCAGTGCGCTCTACATCACAGAGTTTTTTGACAATGGACATGGTGAGTAAGAGTTCAAACCTCTGCCAACATCTGCCACAACAAAGTGGCTTTTTATTGAGACTGATTCAGAGCTGAATAAAACATGCAGTTCTCCTCCTCTTTTGAATGATGGCTTTCCTGCATCAACATGCTGCTCACCTCAAATTATAGGTTGTGGTGAAAAGTTTGTCTTTCTTCAGTTTTTCACATCCTCTTCTCCCTCCTCCTGTCTACTTTTTATTTTGCCAGCAGCCTCATAAAATCTATTTTTCCTCTAAATTCCATTGAATAGTTGATTTTTTTTCCAATTGTCTTGTTTGTGTTTTTTGTCTTAGATTCTACAAAGTTTTTTATTACATAAAATTTCTGCATGTTATTGAGGAAATTTATATTAATATTTTACGATTCTGAAAAATATAATTTCAACATAAATACAATTCAAAATAAGTGCCTACCTTTAAAAACTGTTTTACAGTTTTGTTGGTGTTTTCCACCTCACAGAAGCCATAGGGCCCTGTTGACCCTAGCATTGCTGCCTTCACTCCTCTTGCATGTTGTGCTGTAGGTCTCATATTCTTTTTTTTTTTTTTTTTTTGCTGGACTCAACAGCAGTCATTTATTTACACTCAGTCATGATGTGAACTCCTTCTTATTCTCTTCATTTATAGTCAAAAGTAACAACTAGTGTTTTTATCTGTTGAAAATTTGCTCTAGAGAAATTGCTTATGGCTAAAAATGTTTAATTAGAAATTTTATTAACCCTTTATTTCCCAGACAAATTCTGTTGAGGTTACAGATCTCTGTTTCCATCGAGGTCTATATATCTTTACCCGCTTCTTCCTTTTTGGGTTGTGAGGTTCACTGGTACTCGTGTAGCGTTGCATTTGGGCCTAAAAAATCCGACTTGACCCGAGCCCGTAAGTTGTTTTTTTTCCTAACCCGACCCGACCTGATCATTTAACTGTAATTACAGGCCCGAACCTGAAAAAAACTACTTTTTTTATTTTTCAGTAAGCTTGTACTGCTTTTGTAAGCAAATCAGTTTGGCATGATATTTTAAAAACATATTTCAAAGAAAGGAAGATAAATGATTTCTTGTTTCACCAAATGTATATTAGCATACAGAACAAATAGCCTAAAAATCATCTCTGAATATAGACTATTATAAACAAAAATATTTTTAGAGCTAAATAATTTAAAAAAAGTAAAGAAACAAGGCGATTTTAATTGAACGCGCTGCTCACTTCGACTTGTATAGATGCTGCTACTTCCTTCACCACAGATGCGCAGGTGCAGAGACGCATGCAGCAGTGATAAGGTGATCCATCTGAGCTTAACTGGACATTTTTTTACCTCTTTCAACTGGCCAGTTGGACTTGTTTCCTCCTCAACAAGTAGATTAACACAATTTTATATCATGCATTCTTGTTTAGTTTTCTTTGTAATGTATGATTCGTAAAATCTTACCAAAAGCCCGAGCCCACACATGCGCAATTATTGCGCAATGCACTAGCAGCAGCACTACTCTCTTTAATTGAGTCTGATTAATTGCTGCACTCTTCTTTCTTTCCTCATCCTCTCAACACAGGAGCGGCTGTGGCTGAGTGGTTAGAGCAGTCGTCCTCCAGTGCAAGAGTTGGTGGTTCGAACCCACCAGCAGTCACATGCCGAAGTGTCCCTGGGCAAGACACTGAACCCCTCATCGCCTCCAATGTGTGTCCCATCGGTGTATGAATGTGATAAAGCTCTGATTAGTCTCTTTAGAATGATTTGTTCAATTAGCTTTGTAGAGATCTAGTAGAGTGCTGTATGAATGGGTAAATGAGGCACAGATTGTAGTGTAAAGTGCGTTGAGTATCTTGATTAGATAGAAAGATGCTATATAAGTAGTCCATTTACAGTCCGTTTTACTTACTGCCTCCTCCTCTACAAGTAGAACACAACTTTATATTGTGCATTTTTATTTAGTTTTCTTTGTGATGTACGATCTGTAAAACTGTATCAAAAGCCACACACCGCCCTGCCCCGCCCATTAAGCACATTATTTTGGCCCAACCCGGCCCGAATATCAGGTCGGGCCAGGCCGTGCTCGGGTTAGAAATGGCAGCTCTATACCCATGTCCAGCAGTCACTGTGTGAGAGGCAGGGTACACCCTGGACAGATCTCCAGTCCATCACAGGGACACAAAGAGACAAACGAGAAAAACAACCATTCACTCTATCACTCACACCTAGAGACAATTTAGAGATACCAATCAGTCTAACATGCATGTTTTTGGTCTGTGGGAGGAAAATGGCGTACCCGGAGAAAGCCCACGCATGCACGGCGAGAACATGAAAACTCCACCCAGAAAGGCCTCCAGCCAGGATTTGAACAGGGGTGGCCTGCTCGCTGAGAGGCAGCAGCTCTACCAACTGAGCCACTGTGCTGCCTGCCCATATTATATATACTGTATATATATACCCCTCCCTGGGCTGCCACCTTACCATGGTGGAGGGGTTTGAGTGTCCCAATGATCCTAGGAGCTATGCTGTCAGGGGCTTCACGCCCCTAGTAGGGTCACCCAAGGCAGACAGGTCCTAGGTGAGGGACCAGACAAAGTGCAGCCCAAACACCCCAATGATGATTCTCATTATTAGTCATTATTCATCTCATTATTATTAGTCATTATTCTTGGCCATTCCTCGACATAAACATATACATACATATATGTTTACGGATCTCGCCGGAGGACACTGGCTGATTATTACATCCTTATCAGAACTCTTACAGTGCCCTCGAGAGCATCTATGAACATTGCTCACCACTCTCGTTGTCCCCCTCTGCAGAATGTCTACGTCACTATGTGCTTGTTCGTGCGAAGTGTTTTTTAATATCAGAGTTTTTTTCTTCTCACGCAGGAAAAAAATATTCTGATGGGAATTTTTTCGCCTCCAATTCTTACATGTGTCCAGTTTAACTACATTTTGTCTGTCTAAACAGATCTCACTTGTAAATGAGTCTTCTAGACTCAATGTGACTTATCTGGCTAAATAAAGGTTGAATGAATGAAAAAAAACACCCCTATGATGAGAACAATAAATGGATTCTATGTTCCCTCGCCCGGACGTGGGTCACTGAGGCCCCACTCTGGAGCCAGGCCTGGAGGTGGGGCACGCTGGCGAGTGCCTGGTGTATTTTACCCATGGAGCTCGGCCGGGCACAGCCCAAGGAGGCGACGTGTGTCCCCCTTCCCATGGGCTCACCACCTGTGGGAGGGGCCTAAGGGGTCAGGTGCAATGTGGGATGGGTGGTGGCCGAGGGTGGGGACCCTGGCGGTCTGATCCTCGACTATAGAAGCTGGCTATTAGGATGTGGAATGTCACCTCTCTGGTGGGGAAGGAGCCTGAGCTGGTGTGTGAGGTTGAGAGGTTCCGGCTAGAAATAGTCTGACTCACCTCTACGCATGGCTCTGGCTCTGGAACCAGTTTCCTTGAGAGGGGTTGGACACTTTTCCACTCTGGAGTTGCCCCCGGTGAGAGGCGCAGAGCTGGAGTGGGCATACTTGTTGCCCCCATATTGGTGCCTGTATGTTGGGGTTCCCCCCGGTGAATGAGAGGGTATCCTCCCTCCACCTACGTGTGGGGAGACGGGTTCTGACTGTCGTTTGTGCTTATGTAACAAGCAGCGGTTCAGATTAGAGAGACAAGAGAGGGGCAGAGCTGTCCACTGACCACTACCTGGTGGTGAGTTGGCTCCGATGGTGGGGGAGGATGCCGGTCAGACCTGGCAGGCACAAACCTATTGTGAGGGTTTGTTGGGAACTTCTGGCAGAGTCTCCTGTGAGACGGAGCTTTAACTCCCACCTCTGGGAGAACTTTGATCATGTTCCAGGGGAGGTGGGAGCCATTGAGTCTGAGTGGGCCATGTTCCACGCCTCTATTGTCGAGGCAGCTTACTGGAGCTGTGGCAGCAAGGTTGTCAGTGCCTGTCGCGGCTGCAACCCTCAAACCCAGTGATGGACACCGGCGGTGAGGGATGCTGTCAGGCTGAAGAAGGAGTCCTATCAGGCCTTTTTGGCCTGTGGGACCCCGGACGGAGCTGATGGGTACCGGCAGTCCAAGCGACTTGTGGCTCGGGTGGTCGCTGAGGCAAAAACTCAGGCATTGGAGGAGTTCAGAGAGGCCACGGAGAATGACTTCCACATGGCTTCAAGGCGATTCTGGTCCACCATCCAGCATATAATGGGGGGAAAGCGGTACACCACCAACACTCTTTATAGTAGGGGTTGTGTGTTGCTGACCTCAACTCGGGATGTCATGGGTCGATGGGCAGAATACTTCGAAGACCTCCTCAATCCCACCGGCACGTCTTCCACTGAGGAAGCGGAAACTGGGGACTTTGGGTCAGGCTCTCCAATCTCTGGTGCTGAGGTCACCAAGGTGGTTAAAAAGCTCCTTGGTGGCAGGGCCCCGGGGGTGGATGAGATTTGCCCAGAGTTCCTTAAGGCTCTACGTGTTGTAGGGTTGTGTTGACTTACACAACTCTGCAATATTGCGTGGAAGTTCCCCTGGATTGGCAGACAGGGGTGGTGGTCCCCCTATTAAAAAAGGTGGACTGTAGAGTGTGTTCTAACTACAGGGGGATCACGCTCTTAAGCCTCCCCGGTAAGGTCTATTCGGGGGGTTCCGGAGTGAAAGGTCCGTTGGATAGTCGAACCTCAGATTCAGGGGGAGCAGTGCGGTTTTCCTCCTGGTTGTGGAACACTGGACCAGCTCTACAATATTAGCAGGGTCCTGGAGGGTGCATGAAAGTTTGCCCAACCAGTCTACATTTGCTTTGTGGACTTGGAGAAGGCATTTGACCGCGTCCCTCAGGGAACACTGTGGGGGGTACTCTGGGAGTATGAGGTACCAGGCCCATTTTTATATGGGCTGTTAGGTCCCTGTATGACCGGTGTCAGAGCTTGATCCACATTGCCGGCAGTAAGTCAGGCTCGTTCCCAGTGAGAGTTGGACTCTACCAACGTTGCCCTTTGTCACCAATTCTGTTCATTCATCGTCTGCAGTGAAGTGGGTGCTGTACAGGTCTGTCGTGGTGAAGAAAGAGCTGAGTCAAAAGGCGAAGCTCTCAGTTTACCGATCAATCTATCTTCCTACCCTGATCTATGGTCATGAGCTTTGGGTCGTCACTGAAAAAACAAAATCTTGGATACATGCGGCCAAAATGAGTTTTCTCCGCAGGGTGTCTGAGCTCTCCCTTAGAGATAGGGTGAGAAGCTCGGTCATCCGGGAGGGACTCAGAGTAGAGCCGCTGCTTCTCCATGTCGAGAGGAGCCAGTTGAGGTGGCTTGGGCATCTGGTTAGGATGCCTCCTGGACGCCTCCCTGGTGAGGTGTTCCGGACATGTCCCACCGGGAGGAGACCCAGAGGAGGACCCAGAACATGCTGGAGGGACTATGTTTCTCGGCTGGCCTGGGAATGCCTTAGGAATCCTCCGGAGGAGCTGGCCCAAGTGGCTGGGGAGAGGGAAGTCTGGGCCTCCCTACTTAAGCTGCTACCCCTGTGACCCGACCACGGATAAGCGGAAGAAAATGGATGGATATATATATATATATATATATATATATACTGTATATATGTATGTGTATGTGTGTGTATACAGTATATGTATGAGTGTGTGTAAATACCAGGGGTCACCAACCTTTTTGAGACTGAGAGCTACTTCAGTGGGACCGAATGACACGAAGGGCTACTTGTTTGATCCAAAAAAGGTAAATCTGGTCCTCTGGACATTCAAAATAAAAAAAAATAAAAAAAATAAGAAGCCAAAACATTGTAGAAACGTTTCGTCTTTCATCTGAAAGACTTCTTCAGTCTGAGGTGCTGTATTCAGCTCAGTCTTATAAATAGTACCTTATCATAGTGGATCAACCAGTTTGCTGCTGACAGCCAAAACCAGCTGCTCACATGATCAAGAAGGACCATCAGCCTAACAATGGATTGTTAG